ACTTTCTGTAGGCCTCTGAGGTTTTTTTCAGCTGAATCTTGAAGGAAACCAGGGATTCCAATAGATGATATCTTGAATTTTTGTGTATCTGGTCTTCTAAGCATGGGACATTTTGTATGCTGTTGAATATGTAGGAGATTTGACTCAGGTTGTTGGAAGGAATGCTTGATGCTGAGTACCTGTACTAGAGATAAAGCTGGTGCCAGAACCTTTTTTGGGAAAAGATTTGTGGTTCCAGACAATCCTTGGGCAAGATGTATTGAAGAGCTGTAGACATATAGGGAAAGCTGGCTCACCAATATGTCCTGACTTCAGGTATGCCTCCCTGTTGCTGTTGCTGTCCACACAGCACTACAGGCCCTTCCAGCCTCCTCTGTCTCTTGAAGTCTGTCCAAGTTCATGTTCGTGGTTCCATGAAACTATCTATCCATCTCCTCCTTTGCAGTCTCCGTTTCCTTTCAATCTTTTCCATATGTGTCCAAAGTATTTAAACTTCAGCTGCAGTATTTGACCTTCTAATAAACAGTCTGAATTAATAGGAAAGATTGAAGGCAAAAGTAAAAAGGGACAACAGTTAATTGACATTGGGCTTTCTGTCTTGTTTCGAGCTATCTCATTACTGAATAGTTCATTCTTTGATATGTTCTAATCTGTATAATTTCTTTGATTTTTGAGTGGTTTGAAATGGTTTTACTTGCTGTGTTTTCCATTTGTGGTGGTATTTTGTTTAGCCAGTGTTTGGTGGGAAGGACCTATAAAAACATATTTAAAAACTTCCTTTTGATTTCTTCTATAAATATTAGAAACATGTATTTCTCTAGTCTCAAAAACTCTTTCCAGACTTGTCCCTTTAGGAAGGTGGGTTAGGTCAATATTAAAAGGCCTTTCTTCAAGAATAGAATAAATGGGAGGGCAGGATAGGATTAAGGGAAATAGAGTTAGTTTTTCACAATATGTCTACTATGGACGTGTTTTGCATAACTGCACATGTACAACGTATATTGAGTTGCTTGCCTTTTCAATGAGGGTGGGTGGGGAGGGAGGAAGAGAGAAAATTTGAAACCTAAAGTTTTAAAAACATATGTTTAAAAAAAATGTTTTCACATGCTACTGGGAAATAAGAAATACAGGAAATGGGGTACAGAAGTCTATTGTGCCCTACAGGAAAATAGAAGGGGAAGGGGATAAGAGAAGGGGAGAGAGATAGAAGAGAGGACAGACTAGGGGAAGGGATATTCAGAATGCATGCCATCTTGGGGTGGGAGGATGGGGTATAAATTTAGAATTCAAAAACTTGTGGGAGTGAATGTTGAAAGCTAAAAATAAATAAATTTATATTAAAAAAAAAAGAAAATGCTCCACAACCAAATAAAGAACTATGGAGTCTGAATATAGATCGAAGCATAAAAAAAAAAAAGCCTTTCTTCAGGAAACTGGATCAAAAGTGGAAAATAAATTTTGAACAAAGAGTACCTCTTATTAAGATCATCAACAGAGTGGTGGGTGACATCCTTGGGAAATACTCTCTTTTTCATTAAGAGAGAAGTATCTTTTGTTATTCAGAAAGGATTATGATTTCAGAAAGGAGATCCTTTCAGACTTTGAGGGGAATGGTCCAGGAAGGAATTGAATGGTTCTAGTTGAAGATTAAGTGACTAATGTTAGAGACCATTGTTCTGGAATGTCATACCAAAATTACTTTAACAGATTATGATTGTTCTTCAAGATTCTTATAAATATTACTGAAAATTATTTTGGGGCATAAAGATGTCCTGAGGCATAGGGAATGAAGCCAGTTTGGACATTTCTTTCTCTAAGCTGTATAAGCTTATATATAAAATTATATGAAATTGTTTCTGGCAGACTTGTGTCTAAAATACAGAATATGGTATTACTTTTTTTTTTCTTTGACAGCACCACACTGTTTTGAATGAGGGCTATTCTCACCTTTAAGGGTTATCAGGAGATAGAGAACATTATGAAATGCAAAATAGATAATTTTGATTACCTTAAATTGAAAAGGTTTTGAGCAAACAAAGCCAACTGAGATTAGAAGGGAAGCAGAAAGGTGGGAAATAATTTTTACAACCAGTGTCTCTGATAAAGGTCTCATTTCTAAAATATAGAGAGAACCGCCAAATTTATAAGAATACAAGTCATTCCCCAACTGATAACTGGTCAAAGGATATGAACAAGCAGTTTTCAGAGGAAGAAATTAAAGCTATCTATAGCCATGTGAAAAAACGCTTGAAATCTCTATTGATTAGAGAAATGCAAATCAAAACAACTCTGAGGTACCACATCACACCTATCGGACTGACTAATATGACAGAAAAGGAAAATGATCAATGTTGGTGAAGATGTGGGAAAAGTGGAACACTAATGCATTGTTGGTGGAGTTGTGAACTGATCCAACCATTCTGGAGAGCAGTATGGACCTATGCCCAAAGGGCTATAAAACTGTTCATACCTTTTGATCCAGCAGTACCACTTCTAAGTCTATATCCCAAAGAGATCATACAAATGGGAAAATGACCCACATGTACAAAAATTTTTATAGTGGCTCTTTTTGTGATGGCAAAGAATTAGAAATTGAGGGGATGCCCATCAGTTGGGGAATAGCTGAACAGGCTGTGGTATATAATGTAATGGAATAATATTGTATTATAAGAAATGATGAGCATGTGGACTTCAGAAAAACTTAGAAAGACCTATATGAATTGATGCTGAGTGAAGTGAGCAGAACCAGGAGAACATTGTACACAATAACAGCCACATTGTACATTGACAAACTTTGAAAGACTTAGCTCTTCTTAGCCATGCAAGGATTTAAGACAGCTCCAAAAGACTCATGATGGAAAATGCTGTCCACATCCTTGAAAAGAACTATGGGGTGTGAATGCAGATCGAAGCATACTAATTGCTCTCTCTCTTTCTCTCTCTCTCTTTTTTTTTTGCTGTTGCTGTTTTCCAGTTTCTTGTGGTTTCTCCCATTGGTTCTAATTCTTTTTTACAACATGACTAACGTGAAAATACGTTTAATATGAACGTACATAGAGAGCCTATATCAGATTGCATGCTGTCTCGGGGTGAGGGGCAAGGAGAGATGGAGAGAAAATTTGGAACTCAAAATCTTATGGAAGCGAATGTTGAAAACTAAAAAAGATCTGGCTTTCCTTCTGAACTATACTTGTACACTTAGACTACAGATATTTGAGAAGGCAGATAGATGTACTTATATCCTGATAACCCTCTTGGAGACAGGCAAGGGAAAGTGCAAGAGTGCAGTCACGGCCCTTCTCTGTCCTTCAGGTAGGACTCAGTCTCCCTTGAAGAGAAGTAGGCCAGATTTTTGAGAAATCTATCCATACCACCAATGAGTCATGTCTATACAACTATTACATTTTCACATGACAACTGCACAAACTAAGTATACTGGGCATATTGATTTGAAGAAGACAGTATATTTTCAACAAAGCTTTGTAAAAGAATTTCAGTGATCAGACTGCATCCTGGACTCTTGGATTCATTATTATCTTTCCCACAAAAATCCTCTATTTCTCCTACTTTCCCTATTACTGTGGAGTGTACCGCCATCCTCCTAGTCAACTCAGGCTCAAAATTTAGATGTTATTCTTGACTGCTCACTCTCTCTATAAGCAATCAGTTGCCAAGACCTATCAATTCTACTGCGACAACATCTCATATATCCCCCTTCTCTTCTCTGAAACTGCCACCACCCTGGTTCAGGCCCTTGCCACTTCTCCACTCTCCTCTTGAGAGAGAATGTTCTGGTCCGTCTCCATGCCATGAGTCTCTCCCTATTATTCTCTACTCAGATGTTATAGTGATCTTCCACATTGTCTACTCAATAAACTCCAGTGGCTCCCTGTGGCCTTCTACTAGGATCAAATTGAAAATCTTTTTTGGCTTTTAAAGCTGTTCATAACCTCTGATTTTTTCAGTCTGCTTACACCTTGCTTATCCCTGCCCCTAAATGCTCTGATCCAGTGACATTACCCTTCTAGCTGTTCCTCAAGTAAGAAACTAGATCTTTTGACCATGCTTTTTTTTTTTTCCTTTTTGGTAGGACAAGGTGAAGTAGGGTCGAGTCACTTGCCCACAATCACCCAGCTGGTAAGTGTCAAGTATCTGATTTGAACTTAGTTCCTCCTGATTCCACTTTGCCAGCTAGCTGCCCCATTACCCATGCATTTTTACTGGCTACCTTCTCATTAGGCAAATAGGTGGTGCAGTGGATAGAGTACTGGGCCTAGAATCAGACAGGACCAGAGTTCATAATCCAGCCTAAGACACTTAAATGTGTGACACTGGGCAAGTCGCTTAACCCTGCTTGCCTCAGTTTCCTCATCTGTAAAATGAGCTGGAGAAGGAAATGGCAAACCATTCCAGGATCTGTGCTAAGAAAACCCCAAATGGAGTTAGGAAGGGTTGGACAAATCTCAGCTAAAATTCCACTTTCTGCAAGGAGCCCTTCCCACTTCTCTTAATGCTAATACCTTCCTTCTAATACTATCTATAATTTATACTGTACAGGTGTTGTTTATACATAGTTGTTTTGTCCCCCTATAGACTGTGAGCTCCTTGAAAGCAGGACCTGATTATTTTAAATGTTATTTTATATCACTGTGGCAATTTTCAAATTTGCATTTACTATTTTAATTACAATCATGTGACAGGTGATTTTGTTTTTCCATATTTTCTTTAAGAATAAATGTTTTCTTTTCCTACTTTCTATTTCATTTGTATGCCAGGAAGGGAATTATTTTCACTTTTGCATATCAATACAAATTCGGGGTACAGATTTTTAACTGATTCTCTCCCCTTCTCCTCCTCTCTTGCTGGGCGGGGGCTGAACTCGGTTTCGGCTGCTCTGGATATAGATCTTGTGAATGGAGTCTAATGAAGACTTTCCCCCTCTTCCTTCCCATCTTCAAGTACCCTTGAAAAAAAAAAAAAAGAAAAGGGCCCGGCTTCCTTGTGAGACTCGGTAGGAGCGGCCGAGCCAACCTCCCCAAGCTCGTGAGGGCTTTCCCTGCGCTAGTCTTTAGCTAGAGGTGCTAGAGAACAGGCGGAAGAGGGCACGTGCTGCGTAGACTGCCCCAGAATCCCCTGCAGCCTCTGGGAGAGACTGCGGGAGCAGGAGGCCGCGGCGAGTCCGGTGCCGGGGCGCAGGCCGAGCCGCTGTGGATCATGGCTCAGCTTCGAGCAGGAGCGCGCAGCGGGGCCCACACACGTAGCACCCCCGTAACATGCAGCAGCCTCCCCGGAGGAGCCGGGACTTTGCAGCGGCGGGCGACTGCAGCTCGCAAGAAGCTGTGAGGGAAGTGCGCTGCGGCGGGCGGAGAGCGGGGCGCGGCGGACGGAGAGCGGGGCCCGGCGCCCTGGCCGAGTCCGATCGGCCTGGGAAGCTTCCGGCGGCCCCGGGCCGTTCCGGCGACATGTTGTCCCGAAAGAAGACGAAGAACGAAGTGTCCAAACCGGCCGAGGTGCAGGGGAAGTACGTGAAGAAGGAGACGTCGCCGCTGCTGCGGAGTGAGTCCCTGGAGCAGGAGGGGGGCAGGGGTGTGGCGGCGGCGGGGAGAAGCTCCGAGCCCCCCGGCGAAGCGAGGGCGGTGTTCGGCCGGCCCGCGGCGCCGTCTGGGCCTAAAGCTCGGGGTCCCGAGGCTCGGCTTCTGGCCGCGGCGCCGCCGGGGAGGGTGAGGACGAGCGCGGAGAGCGGCGTGTGGACGAGGACGGAGGCGGCTCGGGCGACTTTGCGGCCTGCGAGCCGGGGCTGCGGGCTGCGGGCTGCGGGCGGGAAGGGAAGGGAACGAGCCGGTGCGAGAGCGGCCGAAACCTCAGCCGGGGTGGATCCCGCACTTTGGGCCAGAACGGACAGGCCTTCCTGTCACTCTGGGATGTGCCTGCACCCTGCCCAGTGTCTTCTTGACTGACGTTACTTCCAAGAGCCACAGTTTTAAATTATGGTTACTTTTTGGGCTTCTTTTGCTTGCATTCCTTTTCCAAAAATTAACCCAAAACTTAGTGCCTGTGAGAAGAGAATCAAAATCTTCCCTCTGGGACAGAGTACCGTGTCACCCTCTCATGTTGGCGTTGTTTTCTCTTACAATAAAAGAGTTAAGGTAATAATGTAAATTATGATTCTTCAGGGAGTTAGCCATCCCAAAGTTTAAAGTGTAAGTGTTTGGAAACGGGTTTCAGTTTTTAGTTAAACAGCAAGCGTTTATTAAAGGCCTACTATGTGCTGGAGAAAAATGAATCGGCATGTGCTTTCAAGGAGCTTAAGTTTTATAGGGAAACAGTATATCAACTTATATATAAAATTTTTTAGCAAAGGCATTAGCAGATGGAGAGGGATGATACAAGAGGTGTCATTTGAACAGACTTTTGAAGGAAGTTAAGGATTCTAAGGCGTAGAAGAGGAGGGAGGGAATTCAAAGCATGGGAGGACAGTGCAAAAGCGCAGAGACAGATGACATTCTGGCTGTGCCAGTTTGGATCATAGAATGTGTAAGTAAATAAATGGAAAAGCATTTGTCGAGGGCTTACATACTGTGCTGGGGCTACAACTATGAAAGTGAGACATTTCTATGCACATATTAAGTGCCTGTTCAGTTGTAGCAGACTCTTTGTGACCCTGGTTGGGGTTTTCTTGGCAAAGATAGTGAAGTGGTTTGCCATTTCCTTTTCATGTGAGGAAACTCAGGCAAACAGAGAGTTAAGTGACTTCCCCAGGATCACACAACTAGTAAGTGTCCGAGGCCAAATTTGAACTCAGGTCTTCCTGATTCCAGGCCCAGTGCTCTATTCACTGCACCACCTAGCAGCCCCTATTCAGTGCCTGCAGTGTGCCAGGCACTGTGCTAAGCGCTGGGGATGACAGTTCCTGCCTTCAAAGGAGGTCACAATCTAATGGGGGAGACAACATATGGACAGCCATGTACAAACAAGATATATACAAGATAAATAGTAAATCATCACAGAAGAGACTAGCATTAAGAGGGATTGGGGGGGAAGGGAAGGCAAGGGAAAGGGAATAAACATTTATGTAGCACCTATATAACACCTGCTCAGGGCCAAGCACTATGCTAAGCTCTTTATGAACATTAAGTTTATTTAATTGGGATTAGAAAAGCTTTTTGTATAAGGTGAGATGTTAGCTTGAGGAAGGCGTAGAAGCCAAGAGGTGAAGGTGAAGAGGGGATGCAATTCCATGCATGACGGATGGTTAGTGAAATGCCGAGAATGTTCATGGACAACAAGGAAGCCTGTGTCCCTGGATGAAAAAAAAGTTTGAGGGTGATAGGGATGGGGAGATTGGGTTATAAAGAGCTTTGAACAATAGAGGATTTTATATTTGTTCCTGTAGGTGATAGGGAGCCACTGGAGTTTGAGGATAGGGGTGACGTGATTGGACCTGCACTTTAGGAAAATGAGTTTGGTAGCCGAGTTTCCATTCCAGATGGCCTGTCGTAGGGAGACTCGTGGCAGGCAGACCAACTTGTTGTCAAGATGAAATTGGTAGGTCTTGGCAACAGATAGGTGGTGAGAGATAGTGAGGATGACACCTACACTGTGGAGCTTGGGGGACTTGGGAGGATGGCGATGCCCTCTGCAGTAATAGGTTAAGTTAGGAATGGGGAGCACAGATTTGGGGGGGATAATGAGTTCAGTTTTGGACATGTTGAATTTAAGATGTCTATAGGATATCTATATGTGTAGTAGGCATTTGGAAATGGGAGACTGGAGCCCCGCAGGGAAGTTAGGGTTGGATAAGGAGGGTGACCAACTGTGTCAGAGATTTCAGAGAGGTCCAGAAGTCTGAGGATTGAGACGAGGCCGTTGGATTTGGCTGTTAGAGCATCATTTTTGACTTTGATGAGAGCAATTTTGGTGGAATAATTAGGTCAGAAGAAGGCAGATTGTCAGGAGTTAAGAAGATAGAGGGAAAGGAAGTGGAAGCATCTGTTATATTCCTTTTTGTTTGTTTATTTTGTTTTAGGCGATTGGGGTTAAGTGACTTGCCCAGGGTCAGGCAGCTAGTAAGTGTCAAATGTTTGGTCTGAGACCGGATTGGAACTGAGGTCCTCCTGACTTCAGGGCTGGTGCTCCATCCACTGTGCCACCTAGCTGCCCCAGCATCTGTTATATTCTGCCTTCTCGAGAAATTTAGCCACAAAAGACTAAAGTGATGTGGGATGAGAATTAGTGGAGAGGGAAGGATCAAGTTAGAGTTTTTTGAGGATGAGGAGATATAATCATGTGTTTCAGGCAGGAGGGAAGTAGCCAGTGGACAGGGAGAGATTGTATTTAAGTGAGAGAATTGGCATGATAGAGGAGATAGCATAGAATGGGATCACTTACGCAGATGTGGGGGTTTGCCTTGGCAAGGAGAAGGGCCACTTCATTTGAGAGGTGAAGGAGGAAATAGCAGTTGGCATCAGAGTGATATAAGATGAGGAGGAGAGGATAAGAGTGAATAGGCTCAATTTTTTTTTTCCAGTAAAATATAAGGCAAGGTTCTTAATCTGAGCAGGTAGGGGGAGGAGGTACAAGGGGGAGGCTTGAAGTGGGATGAAGAGGCTTGTAATAGCATTTGTTGAGAATGAGATAATGAATTAATTGGGAGTTATAGAGGGATTGCCTAGCAACAATAAGAACACAGTTCTTGTTATGTAACAAGTTTGTAGTGGACTCATTCAGAACAGTTGTGTGATTTTTTCTCCTTTATTCAACATTTGTGTAATGATACACATTGGGAATGTGGAGTGATAGGAGACTGAGTCTTGGCACGGCCTAATTGGCCTTATGATAAGGGTACAAGGCACTTAAGAGAAGAGGACATTATAGAGTTGAACTGGGAAAGGAAGCTGTCGCAGAGGTGATGGCCTGAAGTATGACGACCTTTGTGTGTGGCTTAAGTGGGGTGGAGGAGTAGGACATGGGACGTGAATAGATTGAGAAATTGCAGTATTACTATATTTGAGGGAAAGTATATATATGATGAGATCCCGTGGTATGAGGGTAAGAGTTGGAAAGAAAAGCTTCTGAGCCAGGTACTGAACTCATTGAGGAAGGATGGGGAGTGTACTGAGGGTCTATGGACAACAGCTACCAGGATTTTGATTGGGTTAGGCTTAGGGTTAGGGTTAGCATGGACCTCAGAGGAGGAGAGTTTACTGATTGATGGTAGTAGGAGGAAGAACCTGGAAGTAATAGTAGGTAATAAGGAGTATTCTAGTTCTTCCTCCACGAATCTAGGGGAATGTGTGGAAAGTTCGTCTTGGTCTGGAGTGGGGGGGGGAGGGCCGGAGCCAGATCTCAATGAGAGCTAGAAGATAGCAGTGGGAAAGCAAAAGATTTAAGATGAAAGCAAGTTTGTTGCATTACAGAGGGCACAGTGGAATGTATGTTTGATTGGGATTTGGGGAGTGGGGATTGAGGAGAATGGGAATAAAGAATTGGGGGATTGGGTTTTGTGTGATACCAACAGAATCAGTAAGATGTATAAAGTGTCACCAGATTTTTGTTAAGTCATTAAGTGTAAAATTTAGAGAGATTCTCAAAGTCAGTAGTATCATGACCTAAGGGGAGTTGTTTCAGATCTTTGGGCAAGTCAGAGGAGGGAGCGAGATCTTGGAGTGTAAGTAGTGGTGATACACTCCTTCCCTAAGGCAGGGGAACAGGCTGGAAACTTGAGTCCTCTCCCCACTCCTCGGTAGTAGGAGGCAGTACCAGCCTTCAAGGATCTTGCTTTCTAATAAGGGAAGCAATATGTATGACAGTACTGGACGGGGAAGGGAATTTTTGGTGTGGGGAATTGTATGAACAGTGAGTATTGACATATCCTTTTCAGAAGCAGAGATAACATTGCTTTAATAACTGTCCGAAGCATGAAGTAGAAAGGGGCAGGGGTTGGCTGTCTGGGCAGATGGCAAGATAGTCTGGTTGGATGTTGCAGCATGGTATGCAGGCTGCTAGATGTGGTAGGGTAGGTGAATTTGCCAAGCAGGAGATTTTGTATTTCATCCCAGAGGTTGTAAAAAATCACTGGAACTTTTTGAACAAGGGGAAGAAAAGGTCAGACCTGTGCTTCATGAATATAATTTTGTCATTTGTGTGGAGGATGAATTAGAGTGGGAAGAGACTTGAGTCAGACCAATTGGAAGGCTGTTTCATTAGTGGTGGGTGGTGAGGGCCAGAACTAAGCAGATGGCCAAGTGAATAGGGACGGGGTAGGTAAGAGAGGTTTTGGGGAGTAAGAATTGATAAAATTTGGCAACTGATGGGGAATTAGAGTTGAAAAGTCATATGGTTTGTGCTAATAATACTATGGCTTCCCTGCTATAATTTATAGTAACTTTCCCTTAGCATGGATGTTTAATTCTGTGTTTCTGTAGATCACATTTAAGGTTTATAAAGCCCCCACAGTAAGCTTGTGAAGTAGATAGTGTAGTTATTATTATGATCTTTTACAAGTGAGGAAACCAAGAGAAGCTTAGTGATTTGCTCATTATTACACAGCTAATAAATATCCACTATGGTTTGAACCCAAGGCTCTTAGCTTAAGATCCATTGCTTTTCTGACATCTCTCGCCAGAGAGATTAAAGCCTTCCCATTGGACATATACGATTGTTTCTAAGCAGTTGCCATCAACAACAGTAATGTTCTTATCACAAAGCAGAGAAAAACTACAAAATCATTTTTATTGGGACTTTACTACTGAGATTTTGATTGATGAGGAAATGACCATTCTAGAATTAAGAGAGTCAGAATAGCCTATGTGGTTTCCATCTGGCATTTGAACAATTCCTACAAAGTTTTGGGAGTTTTTAGTTATGTTATTTTTTCCCCTGCTTCCTTCATCCTACATCCCCTTTTAATTACAACTTATTCACTTAGCAAATTTGAATGTATTTTTGAATGTCAAAATATTTCTGTGAAGCACATAAACCAGCAGATATTTTTTATACTTGTCCAAATTTTCCATAAGTCTTATTTTCTAGGGTCATTGCAATAAGTGTATCTGATAAAAGGGGGTGTTAGGAGTCTGAGGATTAATACTATTGTTGGGACTTGCTTTTAAAACTGTTTTGTAGCTTTTCATAGCTGTATATTTTTTCAAGCCCCTGAGTGCACAAACCAGTCTAATTTCAATAATTAATTATGGTTTATTACATAATAAGTATGTATATTATTTAAGAATATATGAAATAATGAACTGTATCATATAATTAATCAACTACTTATACTGTTACAATTAGGTTTGATTTTTCATTTACTGCTCCACAATGGGGAGAAGTAGGAGACGTAAAATTAGGATCATTGGGAAGAAATTCCATTAGGGAATATTAAAAAAAAAAAAGCTTTTCAGTTATTAGAGCTATCCAGTAGTGAAATGGGCAGCCACATTAGTAAGTTTCCTAACACTGAAACTCTTCAAGCAGAGGCTGGCTGACTACTTGAGTACTTCAGAGTAGATAAATTTCCTACTCTGTGTAGAATATTTAATTTCTGTGACTTATTTTCTGTGATGTCCTCATCACCCACGGAGGCCCAATTTTAAACCAATTGTAGCCTGTTAATCTGATGTTAAGATCCATTTTGTAAGCTTAATAATTCTAGTGAGTTCTAAGAGTCACTTTTCCCAAAAGTGAGCAGAAATTTAGCTTTCAGTTAACAGTGATTTCTGAACTTTAAAAAAATTCTATTCAGTACAGATGACTTTGTGAAAGTCATTGTTCTCATTACATTTGTGTTGAACTGTAATTTTCTTTCTATCAGGGCACTGTTTCAGATTCCATTTTTGAGTTCAATATTTAATAACAGTTTGATTTTTCATTTTTACAAAGGTACTACAGATCTTTGTGAATCAAATGCACTTTTGTATCACCTTTTGCCTGCTCCTGTCTTTTACACTGGTATTTTAAAAAATCACCTTCATCAAAAGATGGAGGAGAAATAGGTTAGATTGCTATTTGTATGAAAATGATCAGTAAGTGGTTTTGGTGCACAGTAAGCTTGAGTCGGCATTATAGTGTGTTATTTTTTATTTCTATCCCAAGTGCCTAACGTTCCTGCCTGGCACATTAGCTACTTAATAAATGCTTATTGGTCGATGGTCATTTTTGTTCTGTCTTTTCTAGTACAAAGGTCATTTCTCATGACAGATGAAAAACACAGAATTAAAATAAAAACTGAGCAGCTCTGATTTTCTCTCAACAGCTATACTTATTCCATTTACTTACAGCAGCAATTCTATGTTTATTTTGATCCTCCTATCTTCCCCAATATCTTTTTTTCCCTTGATTTTGCACAGGGTGGTAGGGCATTATCTACTCACTGTCTGGATCCCGCTAGTGATTGCCAAGAGAGCTTTTCTGTTTGTTATGTAAAACCAAGTTGGTTTACACTGGCCATCCCAGTCTCTCTTAGTTATACGGATTCCCCTTCCCTAGGGTTCTTTATATTGATACTGGACTTAGTGTAGATACCTAATCACCTTACTCCACTGTAGTTCAGAATTCCAGAGCTCAAGAGATCTATCAGCCTTCGCTGTAGCAGGTATTACGGATGTGTGCTACCACATCGGTCCACAGTATACCTTTTTTTTTTTCTTTTTGATGAGGCAGTTGGGGTTAAGTGACTTGCTCAGGATCACACAGCGAACACAGTATAACTTTTAAAAAACTTTGTTATCCTTAACTTTCCTCACTAGCTGGAACTCCTTTTTTATTTTAGTATTCTTAACACCATTCATTTTTATATCATATTTTTTACTGATGTCATTTGTTTTTATATTACCCTCATTTCAAAATCTATTCTTCCTCACTCTGGTATTTATCTTGTCAGCCTTTTTAATAAAGATTTAAAAGTAAAGAGGGTTAAAAGAAAGTTCATCAAAACCAACACATCAACGATGTTTGTTTGTATCCAGGCTCCTACCTCTACAAAGAGGTATGGAAAATACATTTTCTCGCTCTTTTCCAGGGAGAAATTTGATTATTTTAAGTATGTAGTGTTCCTGATGATCTTTTATCAAATGAGGTAATATTTGAAACTATGTGAATTTTGCTATTATTTTATTAGCTATTATTATTATTAGCTATTATTTTAATGTCCTTTTCAGTTCTAAATCTATGATCTTCTGAATCTAATTGTAAAGTCTTACACTCGGGTTAAAAAAAATCACTTCACAAATATAAGTTGGGAAGACAGAGTTAGGCAGAAGTTAGAAAAATATCTAGGCATTTTAGTGGGCTACACAGCCAATATGAGTCAGTAGTGTGATAGGGAAGCCAAAAGAACTGATGCAGTTTTAGGTTGCATTGAAAGGCCTGGTTTCTTGAAACAAGTAGGTGATAGTCCCACTGTACTCTCCTCAATTCAATCCACTCTAGTATATTATGGTAAGTTCTGGATGCCTCAGTTTAGGAAGGTCATTATGAAGCTAGGCTTTAAAAATGTCAGGAGGATTATATAGCCAGAATTGTGATTGGTCATATTTAAGAAGAAGAAAATTAAGCAGGGAGGGACATGTTACCTGTTTTCAAATATTTGAAGAGCTATTAGGTGTAAGAAAAGTTAGAGTTATTCTGTTTGACCCTAGAAGGCAGAACTAGGGGCAGTGGATAGAAGTTTAAAAGTAGGGACTATTAGATTTTTTGGTCAGGAAGAATTTCCTTACAGTTAGGGCTATCTAAAGGTATGATGGGTCATCTTGGTTTTCCCTCATTGGAGGTCTTCCAGTAAAGTGTGGAACCACTTAGTAGGTTTTTACGATTCTTCTTTTTTGAGTCTTTGTTATGCCAAAGTGCTTTTCATTTCTGAAATTCTGTGATTCTTGACCCCAGAGGGTATAACTGGGACCAAGGGATGAGTAAGGAAAAATATTACTGGTAGGGCAGATTTTATCTTGTTATGTGGAAAAATTTTGTAACATTTAGAATTCTCCAAAACTGGGAATGGGCAGCTTCTGGAGATACTCAGTTACCTGTCACTGGAGCTGTTTCAAGCAAAGGTTGGTTGGTTACTTGCTAGGAATATTGTAGTGGTATTTCATGCTATCAGTAGGGGGTGGACTAAATGATTTCTGACGTCTTTTCCAATTCTTAGGAATCTGAGATTATAGTTTGACAGTACATCCAAAGTAAAATTAAAAAATTTTTAATATGCTAAAATAATACATTTGCTTTTGTGAATGAATTCAAATAGCCCTTGTCAAAACCCAGTCTTTCCATATTTTGAAGTAGTAATTTTGTTGTTATTACAGATCTTATGCCTTCATTCATCCGTCATGGTCCAACGATTCCAAGACGAACTGATATCTGTCTTCCAGATTCAAGCACTCATGCCTTTTCAGCTACTGGGGAAGGAGTGGTTTCCAGAAATCAGAGTTTTCTTAGAACTCCAATTCAGAGGCCACCTCATGAAATCATGAGGAGAGAAAGCAACAGACTATCTGCACCTTCCTACCTTGCAAGGAGTTTAGCAGATGTCCCTCGGGAATATGGTTCTTCTTCTCAGGGTTTTTTAATGGAGGCCAATGCTGCTGTTGAAAATGGTGACACTAGTTCCTCTTATTATTATTTGGATAATGTTTTCAATGGTCAGAGGAGGCAATCGCCTGGAGATCGTGTACATGAAGACTACAGATATGAATACAGCAATGATCTCTTCCAAAGAATTCCACACAGTCAGGGGAGGCATGTGTCAGGTGATTCAAAGTACAAATACTGCATGTGTTTTTATTCTGATTTGCCTGACAGTTTTCATTGTGGTAGATAACTTTGGTCTGGGCTCACTTGATAGGAACTTTGGAAACTAATAAGCACTCTTTAGGAGATCATCCTATTTAATCCTTCATTATGCTAATCATTATTCATTATTGCTTGTAATTAGACATTCTTCCTTATAGAGAAACAGAATGAAAGAAACCCAGTTTCATTTATTTTACTGTGACAAAACTTAGTATCACTGCTTTCCAACTTTTTGTCTCATGTATACAAATGAAGGCCTGGGAACGGGTCTCTAGTTAGATGAGCTGAGTACAGCTTTACGGTACTTCTGGTAGTCAGAGCTTTAGTTTTTCACCCTTTCTTCCTTTTCGTAACACTTCTCTCCTGTAAAGCCTGTCGATGCTTGATCACTTCTCTCCTTCAGCCTTTCCACCCCTGCTCTTTTATTTTGTTGGTGTGGGTACTTCTTTTTCTGACACGTGTAATCATAACCCCTCCCAGTTAGTGAATGGTTTTTAAGAGTTACTGAAAAATTCGTGACCATACTTAGAATAAGCTTTTAAACTCAAGTGAGGCCAGTCCAGTTTTTAGCACAGTGTTGGTATATAGTAGGTGCTTAATAAATGCTTGTTTACTGTACTCAGTCTTCAGACTACAGGCATTTTTTTCCTTGTTATCGAAGCCTTCCATTTTGGTAGGACATACTATCACTTCTTCTCTGCTGGCATGACTTTTAAGAACTCTGAGTCACTTCATGTCATGATGAGGTGTCACAGTAATTTTAGTGGGACTACATGTTAACTTAACCGTAATAGTGGATTATTTTCTCCCATGAGGTTTCTCGGTGTAGGCTTTGAAGCATGGAAATTTTAATTTTCAGAGATCCAGAAATCCAGTATTAGCAGCCTAATAGGAAGACTTGGCGATATTAATGCTTCCTGGTCTAGGCAATCAATCTTCTATCATTCTGTCTTTTCCTGTACATTTCTGCTTTTCAGCTTAGTCTTCCTCATTTTGACCTCCAGTCCCTCTACCCTTCTGTACTTTCCCATGCCATCATTTCTGCTCTGGTTATATTTTACTCCCTTCCCAGTCTTGACCCTTAGTAAATCAGTTGAACTCTGTACTATCCTCTGCTTTTGACTCACTGGCTCCTTTGTCCTAGTCCCACTCATATCTTGCATAGTTTCACTGTCCATTTCTTTTACTCATATGCTTTGGAATAGAGCTTGTCATTAAGCTCTGCTCACCTGTCTAATAGGAACTGAACCTTAACTGCATTCTTCTTGTTGACTAGTTGATCTTGTGCTCAGCAGGGCACCCAGAACTTCTGGTCGTTTAGGTCCATTCCCAACACAGCTTTTTCTAGCTTATTCTTTTGGCTGGAGCTTAGATTTTGTTTATTTAGTTTTTTTGTTTATTAGAATTTCTAATAAAAATTTATAATACAATTAAAATAAGTATTCTAATTTTCATTGTTAATCATAAAAAACTTTTCCTTATAACTTAACAGAATTAGAAATTGACAATTAAAAAATTAATTGCATTCATATTTTTATCAGAATTGGATTAACTCAGCATACCAGGGTATATGTACTTGGACAACTTTTCAGAGAAGGTTCTGTTTCCCATGTAGATAAAAATATGTTTTAGTTGATGAGACTGAAAGCTTACTGTCAAAATTTTCTCTTCTGAAACACAAGTAATTTACAATAATTTTTCCATTTCAACCTTTTACTTATCAATATTGCAGATACATAGATTTAGATGGATTGTTATTTTATCTCAAGACTACTAATTTTGAAATTTTAACTTAAGCACTTAAAATCACAACATGATTTTAAGAAAATCTTAGAATCATTATAAGAAAGTGTCTAACATAACAAAATCTTTGTCAAGATCACAAAATAAATTTTTATGATTAATAGGCACCCACACAAACATATACATAACCCCAAAATACACAGTTTTTAGAAATAAAACATACTCTGGCCACATTAGGGAAATCCCACTTCAGAGATGAATATATAGATAGTTATTTAACAGAGTAAAAATTAAGTTGGTCAGGTAGTTAAATAGCTTCTTATGATAAATTACCGACTGTACAGTTTCTGCTCCAAGACAGAGTTATAAAATACCTCCCTCATTTTTGGGAAATCAGTTAAGACATGAATGATGTGTCTGTCACCTAAGAAAGCAAAATAATTAAGAGGTTTAAGGGAGTTTCTATACTCTGTAATCTTTATTATTTTGGGAACTTAAGGTATTGTCAAGAGTGTCAGAAAAGGGGTTCTTATAATACTGGGTGTAAATATTCAAATATCTAATTTCCAATTTAACATTCTTAGTAAAGTACAGTTAGAGAAATTTCGTACATAAATACAGTTTTATTCCCAAATAATTTAATTTTTGTGTTTTAATACCCGTTTTAAAGATTTTTTTGAAAAAAATATTTGTAGTAATAAATCCAATCCCTCATTTTCTGTGACTGACCAAACCATAGAAAAGGACAACTACTGAAATCAAGATTCAAAGTCAATCCAAAAAAAAAAAGCAAACATAAAGTCAGTCAAATAGTTCCTCTTTCTAGCTTAAGGGGCATATATCTATGTCTATATAGCTATACTTTGCATGTGCATATGTAAAGATATCAGCTGGGTGGCGCAGTGGATGGAGTACTGGGCCTGGAATTAGGAAGATTCCTCTTCCTGACTTTAAATGTGGCCTCAGACACTTAATATCTATGTGGCCCTGGGCAATCCTGTTTGCCCAATTTTCCTGAACTGTAAAATGAGCTAGAGAAGGAAAGGACAAACCACTCCAGTATCTTTGCCAAGAAAATTCCAAATGGGAACATGTTAAGTCAGACATGACTGAAAAATGACTGAAGAACTCTGTGTGTGTTGTGTATATGTACACACACGTATGTATGTGTATATAAACTTGTACACGTGACACACTGCACATGTACCATATGTACACACATATGTATATGTATATACATATGCACACATACTCAAGGTAAACATTGCATTTTTTCTACAGAAAACACAGACTTTGATGTAAATGTTATCTTTTTTGGGGATACGTGCCAGGTATAATGTTCTCTGCTGAGCTATCTTACATAGTAAGTTTCTATTTTGTTTAATGAAGTGCTCAACATTTAACAGTTTGAACAATTGAATAACAGCTAATTTCATTTTTACACAGGCTGGGGAATATCTATCTATCTATCTTTTTTTTTCCCCTTTTGGTTAGAGCTTAGATTTTTGTTTTTTTCCCCCAGATTCTGTTAAGAGAAAAGGTAACTTTTTTTTTTTTTTGCTTTTTAGTGAGGCAGTTGGAGTTAAATGACTTGCCCAGGGTCACATAGCTAGTAAGTGTCAAGTGTCTGAGGCCAAATTTGAACTCAGGTCCTTCTGACTCCAAGGCCGGAACTCTATCTACTGTCACCTAGCTGTCCCTTAGAAATGGTAACATTTCTTCAGCTGTGCAGGGAGATGGGGCTGAAGTCAGTTTTCCTATAGACTCAGATGAAAAGAAAATGAGAATCATTTTAGAAGTGTCTTTGGGCAGCACGAATAACAGGTTGGTTATAGATGACTGTTATTCACACTGAGATGCTAAAAAAAAGTTCATGTCTCCAAATTTTGTTTAGAGAGTTTAACAATTAAGGGTGTGTGTGTGTGTGTGTGTGTGTTCAGGTGTGTCTGACTGTGACCCCATAGACCGTAGCATACCAGGTCCTTCTATCCTCTATTGTTTCTCAAGTCTGTCCAAGTTCATGTTCATTGTTTCCATGACACTGTATCCATCTCATCATCTGTTGACCCTTTTCCTTTTGCCTTCAGTCTTTCCCAATATTAAGGTCTTTTCCACTGAGTCCTGTTGATGGGGTGCTTGAGTGCTTATACTGGGGCCCCAGTTCCAAGACCATGTTTCTCCTTAGCCTCGGAAACACTATCCTTGGCAATTTCCCTCCAGCCCAAGGACACTGTGCCTAGCAATTACTGATGAGTGGGCCCCAGCAAGACATCTCTCCCTGGTACAGTACACAAAGTTGGGTGACAGCATGATGGGCTGTTCAGGCCCCAGCCCTAAGATCATGTCTCTGGAAGCCTCCCAATTCCTTAGTAAGCTCCTGTCTTGTGAGAAAATGTTCCCTTGTTGTAGAGCATTCTCTAATCAGGACAGAGAGAGAGGGATGGCTTATCTGGTCCAAGGAGTTGGGACTCCTCCTCCCTCCAGATTCCCAAGATCCTCTGACATCTCCCTCCATGTCTGGTATACTACCTACACTTTCCCATCTATAGCTCCCAAAGACACCTGGACTTTTAGATTACCTAATTAGTATCCCTGACATTGCTTTCCATATAAACCCTAGCTCCATCCTCAGTTTCTTGTAGGTGCCTTAAGAATCTTTGCCCACTGAAAAGCATAACAGTAAATCTTTGCCAGCTTGACTTAAAGAATGCTTGAGTCTGTGAATTCATTCCAGATGACCCCATCCTGTACTCTGGTTTTTGAGGGTCTCAACCTCTCAGGCAACAACACTGTGACCAAAGTATTTAAGCTTCAACTTCGGTATTTTGACCTTCCAGTGAATAATAACCTAAATTAATTTCTTTCAGTATTGATTGATTTGATCTGTTTGCTGTCCAAGGAACTCTCTTTTTCTTTTTTTTTTGGCTAGGCAATGGGGTTAAGTGACTTGCCCAGGGTCACACAGCTAGTAAGTGTCAAGTGTCTGAGGCTGGATTTGAACTCAGGTCCTCCTGACTATAGGGCCCATGCTCTATCCACTGTGCCACCTAGCTGCGTCTTGCCCCCAACCTCCCCAACTCCCCCAGGGGACTCTAGAAAGCCTTCTCTAGCACCAAAATTTGAAAGTGTCTGTTCTGCTACACTTAGCTTTACTTACAGTTCATCTTTCACAGCCATACATTATTACTGGAAAAACCACAGCTTTCACCATATG